TGTGAAAACTACTCTACAACACCTTTTAATCCTAATTTCATACTACCAGTGTCACAATAGTGTCACATTCATTTCATCTACTATCAGTGACATTTTATAGTGTCACACAGAGGGCTGGGGTTAAAATTTCAAAACATAATTGCCGTTAGTCTTTCAATAGCCACAGAAAAATGCAATTCAACCAGTATTATACAGGCTTCTAATATATTAATAAGACATAAAATGACTAAAATATTAAACTGGCAGCTGCTCTCGAAAATAACCCCCAACTGGGACAAGGAATGGCTTGTCAATTTGAATGTCTTCAAAATGAGATTATTATTTAATTACTACAGAGAAACTTTCTTGTCTTTCATCAACATGATAGATCCTAATCTCCAGGAGAGCAACACTTTACACCTTCTTGCTTTCATGTTTTCCACTGACCTGAAGTAGACTGATTATATTGAATCAATTGCTAAGTCTACTGCTAGGAAAGTTGGTTCACTGGGTCATGCCAGACAATTTTTCTTGTCAGCATCCATCCTGCAGATTTATAAATTTACCATTCATCCATGCATTGAATATTACTGCCATATCTTGTCTGGTGCTTCTCCTATATATCTCAAGAGTCTCAACAAAATCCAAAGAAAGGTCTGTAATGTAATCAGTACTGACCTGGCATCTCGTCTTCAGTCACCTTACGACCATTGTGACATAGCTTTTATCTAAATATTCTCTTGGCAATTGTTCTGATGAGCTTTCCTAATTTAAATGTACTACTAGATTGGCAACTAGGTTTCACAGTTTTTACTGTTGCAATCATAAGTTCTATTCTAATAGTTTACTTTCTCACACTTCTCATCTGTGGAACTCTCTTCTGGTTCCTTGCTTCCCTGCCACCTATAATCCTGAAAAATTTAAATGCAACGCCAATCGCCATCTTTTGCCTTGAATCCTGTTCTTTTATTGTCCTTTCTCCTCACTAAGGCCTTCTCATTCTTTTTCACTCCCAATAATCCCGTGCATCTTAGTGGCATTATTGCCTTGCTTGGGTTGAAATGATTAAGAAAAAAATATTATTTCCATTCAATTGCAATAAAAATCTATATTTTTAATAAACTGAATATTCAAATTTAAGCATTTTGGTTTTGGTTCTTTGAATATGTTTCATTAGATTAAAACCATTGTATCATCTATCTAAAATTACTTTCACCTCACAACAGAAACTAAATAAATATGCAAGAGGTAGGTAATGACATCTAGTGGCTATAATTCAAATGACATCAGTAAAAAATGTTATCTATATCTATAAAATGGATGATGTATATGTGTGTGTGTGTGTGTGTGCATGTGTCTGTGTGTGTATCTGTTTGTGTATATATATGCTATTTATGCATGGCTACATTTCTCACATTTGATGAAATTATACACACAGGTTGCAAATTTACCAAGTTATGTCAAGACCAACTTTTCAATCTCCAGCCCCCCCACCCTGGGTTTGGCAGAAAAATCAATGAAAATGAAGGTGGGTACAACTTTTTTCTTGCAGATGGCGCCCAACTGACCCTGCTATACTGTGCAGTTGACAAAATTAAAAACAAACAATGCACACGTGTGAAATTAAAAACATAAAATGGCGACAATTTAACCATCGCACCCTGTATGTATGTAAATGAAAGTACTTTGATGACAGATATATGTGTAAGAGATTCAGAGGGAAAAGAAATATTTTACTCACTGCTTGTATAATAGAAAACTGATTGTTACAAATGTATTTGGTTGGTAGATATGTCTGGCTGTAATGGAAATAAGTTTTCATTCTGGCTGTCAAAAAAACCATGGAAGAAATGACTGCTGTCAATTTTCTTTTATGTCTTCCAGGGAAGCAGAAGACAACATTTTGTTTTAGGCTGTAATGCCTGCAATTAGTTAGAATTATTAAAATTGAATTATGAAATATTTTTTGAGTTCTAAAATTGAACTTATGTGTGGAGTCTCATTCACAGATATCTTGTTTTTATCATTCCAGAACTGTCATCAGAATGTAGATCCAATATAAACATTTAACATAGTCACTACAAAAGAATTGTCATTCAAAGAGTGTACATCCAACATAAACACTTAACATTGTCACTACAAAACTTATGATGGTGATTAATCTTTGGTTAAAAAAATAAAATAACAAATTTATTTTGTTGTGTATGATGTTGGCAGTAAAAATGATGAAAGATACTTGACAATTGTAATGTTTTATAACATGAATTTTCTGCTCAATATTTTTCTAAGGACAGAAAAAAACTGTAAGTATGATAATATTACTATGTTTTAATGCTCACACGTACACACATCTAAACAATAAACCAAAATAAGAAGTAATTGTGAAAAGATCTAGGAGGGAAAAAAGTAAAAAAGTGTAAGTGGACTGGTTTTGTCAGATGTGCAAACAAGCAAGTTTTGATGGGGAGACAAGAAAAAAGGATGAATCTGAAAACAAAAAAGAAGGACATAGTATGAACAGTGGATATCTACACTCATACTCACTGATGTGACAATGTCAATTTTGGTGAAACATTTACTGAGAGACTGACTTTTGGTTTTTTGTCTTTTTACAAAAATTAAGAATTATTATGTTAATTGTAATTAACTGACAAATGATTGTTTTGTTCATTTTTGTAACAGTGTGTGGAATTCTTTTCTTTAAGAGCTGTGTGTGTGTCTTTTTGTATTCATTGTTTGAAGAATTGTTTGTTGGAATAAGTAGATTTGGCTTGCTTAGTTTAGGAGTTCTGAATGTGTTTGGGTCTGTATCCCAGGGAAAAATTGTCACACCTGGCTATATAGATAAGGAAACTGGACAATGTTAGTAAATGGGAGCTGTAACCTGTGAAATATTCATAGAGGATGAATATACTCTAGGGTACTCCAAAGCCAAGGAATGGCTCTGACAACCAAAAGGGATTGATCAGGCTGCTTGTCAGATGATGTATGACTAAGGGAAAAAACTCCTTGTAACTGCGATAAAGCCAGTAATGGATTAGTTAGGAGGTGCTGAGCAGGTGTGATTATTTTCCCCATGAGGGGGTGCCAGAGGCAAAAGGAATTGAGACGATGCATTGAGTTTAGACACACAGAGGTAGATGGTTAATAATAGTAATTATAGAAAATTAATGGTGGTAAATTTGTGAATATTTGTTCAAGTAAATTATGTGGTTGTGGCTGAATAGGGTGATAAGGGACTGCGTGTACTGTGTCACTGAGTGGGAAATAATATAATATATTTAAAGTGTAAAATTTAGGTAGCAAAGACATGGCTTAGTTATGAAATTGGTTGACACTGTGGCATGTAATGTGTGATTTTTGGACCAGTATTTTTTTCTGTGAATTGTATATACATTTCATGTAGTCTCAAGTGAAGTGGCAAGGACTTTTGTTTTCCACAGGAATATTTGATTGTAGAGGTGGTACCTGCTGACCTGGGTGAAGGCAACATTTGATTGGTCAAAGTTCCATGTTGGTGTGATTTGTATCAAGAATGTTATCTGAGGTATTGACCTTGTGTCACGGAAGCTAGTGACCAAGAATGAACAAAGGATTGTCTGGTATTCTTTTGTTAAAGAAAATGTTTGTGAAGCATTTTCATACTTCACAAACATTGACAAAAGTTTTGTTAAGTTCATTCTTTTTCAGGAATGCTATATGTTCATGCTGGAGGGGTCATGTGACCAAGGCACAATGAAGAAAAAAATGTAAGGAGCATACCTTGTGGACACAAAAGAGTAAAGGGTATTTTAGGGTAATATAGTTGAAATAAAATTCATAAATGAATCTTTTTAATGATTAGGTAAAGTATGTTAAATAATAGTTTAGCTATTATTTTTAAAGGAAGTGTATTTTGACTCCAAATTCTGGAGACTGACATTTGGAGTCAGATGTAAGACATAATAAGGAAGTCGATTTTGAATGGCTGAGCTAGCATGGGAATGATAGATAGAGAAAGGTTTTTCTGTGAGTTGGTTCTTACCCATCAAGAGAGGTAGATATGTTCTCTTTTGTGTCCTAAACAAATCCCTAGTAAGTAGGCGCGACTCCCACTGGATAGTTAGATAATTTAGATGTCAACATAATTAATAAAAATCGTTAAAATTTTTTGTGTTGATGTCTTTCATTGCTGAACCGAAACGATTGGCAAATGCTGGACAAAAGAAAAAGCCAAGCTGAGATCATTTACTGCTGTTAACATGCAACATTAACTCCTGGAAGAAAACAAGTGTCTGGCATGTCCAATACTCAGAAGAAAATATAGCCAATCCAAAAGCTACAATTTAAGAAAAGTTGAATTTATTAAAAACAGGATTCATAACATTCATCTAGAGGTTCGTGGGTTAATGTAATTTTAATAAATTTATTTGCGAAGATGTATTCTCGCCATTCATATCATTAACTTCACTAATGTTTTTTGTATGAATGATTCATGTAAAATATATATCATTTAAAACATATGTTGCTTATTTACAATAATGAATACTTTTTTCTCCATAAATTCATCACTGAATTCTTCATTCACCTAATAATGTTGCTTAATATTTTGGCTTAATTAATTTTTTTTAATAAAAAGATTTCTTTTCACATTTATTTTTTTATAAAATGGTAAATAATAAATCTTTATAAAAAGATAAATACATTTTTTATAATCTTGTAAAAAGAAATTGTCAAAAGAGTGAATGTAATTAAAATAATGTCAATGGAAAAATCATCCTTTTGAAACATCATTTTTTTGCAAGCATAGAAGTCCATGTTTGCCAAAAATTTGCCAAACATGTATATTCAGAATAAGCAAGAAAAGACTAAATGAACCATTGAGTTAAAAAAAATGACAAAGAATATTTCTTTTTTAAAAATATAGGCCATCTCTCAAATTTTTTTAACACTTAAACAAAGATCAATATCAACGAGTAATACAGCCAATAATTATTCTCATATATTTCTTAATTTTTTCAGTGAGAATAATTTACAAATTCTTATTTTGTTTCTTTCTTTTTAGTTTTCTTTCTTTTTTTCTCTGGGACTGTTGGAATTTCTTTCTTTAGACCCTAAATAAAAGTAAAAAAAAGAAATTAGAGTTTAAAGAAAACATTATAGTGAAGACTATTATATAATAAAAACTTGAATGACTACAAGATTCTATGGCAAATTGAAAGTCACCAGCAAATAAAACATAAATATGGTTTGTGTGAAATGTTTATTAAAAACAGCCACTGAATGTAACATACATTCTCATAATAACAATAATGCATTCACACACAAAATATTTGTCACAAAAAATAGATGAACAGGACAATTTATGTATTTCCAATATCAATTTAATTTCTAGTGTGATGTAAAAGACGTTCCAATAAATTGTACTGATTTTAAATATGACTTAAGTTTAAGCATCTAATGATTTTTTTTCTTTTCCTTTCAGATTTAACAAAAGTCTGGCAATTTCAACCATGGAAAGACTAACAATCAAACAACGTGTTAAAGTTATCGAAGCCTATTACAAAAATGGACGTTCAAACAGAAACGCATTTCACACAATTTGTGATTTTTTTTGGTCAAAATTATCAGTGTATCATAAACAGAGATAATTCATTTATTCATAAAAGGTATAATTCATTTATTCATTCATATTCCTTTATGTTTGTTATCTGTTATTGATCAATAACTTCAGAGTAGTTATTAGAGTGTATTAAAAGTATTTTCATTTTTTAACTCCCCAACATTTTGTAAAGTGTGTGATATCTATGAATTGTTTCAGCAGCTCTAACATAGCAATGCCTCTAACTATAGAAATATGAATAAACATAAACATGGATTTATAGACCAAACAATAACAACTATTTATTAGGTTGAACACAAGCACTGTAGAAAATAAAAAGTCTCTGTCAGATCAAGTATTGTTGTGAGAACAGCAAGCACCAATCATAAATCATGCAGGTAAGTTTTCGGGAGCATATTTCATTTTAGTATGCAAAGCTCATACTTACAAATAAATCCAATTATCAATTGGTGGAGCATAAGTTCTTTGTGTCAAATTCCTTGTCTGGTAGTAGTGAGTGGAATTTTACAGTGCCGTTGTGTTGAGCAGATGTGTCATTCTTGATAGTTGTTTCTCCTCTGTTGATATACCACTGTTTAAATGCTGGTTCTCCTCTACTTATATTGGTAGAGATAGGCTCAACTTAAACACATTTTTAAATTCTCAATTTTCCTTTTGATTGGCCAACAAAAATCTTTAATACTGATTTGGTAGCTTTGTTATTTTACTGAAATTATATCTTTGCATTGTTTACTTTTCAGGGTTTAATTGTCTAAGTTAACTAATGCATTAATCCTGACTACATCTGTCCATGTGCAGGAAAATATCTTTTAGGTTTTTGGAAGTGCAACAAGTTCCTGTATAATTTTAAGCTTATATAATGCTCTACATATGGTACCTTTTTATGATATTGGTTCTTCTCAAAGTGATGATTGTTGGTGTTCAAATTCTTCTCTCTATTGCATTTTCAAGCATTATAAGTGATGGTTGCCCACTACTGGGCTTTATTTCAAGGAAGACATCACCCTCTTTAAAACCAGGTATACAGTCAGATGCTGGTTAATTTCCTCCCACTTTCCTAATTCTGTCAGCAGCTTCAAAGTCCAGTTTAAAATAAAGCCTTAAAATTGTTAGACTCTCAATACTTGTATCTGCAGTAATATGATCTTAATTATCTCCCTTTGGCCGTCACACTCTATGTAAAAAAAAAAGTTAGCTTTATGATTATCACTAAAATAGTACAGTAAACATGGCTGACTTATACTAAACACATGATGTTTGTTATCTCTTATTACTAAATATGTTTACATCTGCCATTATGGCCACTAAAATAAAATGTACAGCTCAATAGTATTGATAATGATATGAAATATATATAATAATAATATAGTGCAATTATAGTCTTTAGATGTATAAATGAAATAAACTTTGTAGTAAAGGTTTGTAAAAAATGAAAATACTTTTGATACACTAATATTTATACTGATTCCTTGATTCATGAAAAAGTAAAAAAGTTAGTCCCAATTAATCAATCAAGTTAATAAGATTGAGTTTTAAATTCAAATATTAGTCAGTTCCTGTGTAGCCTATTTTCTGTAGATAATTTTCATTCATAATTTGTTTATTATTAGCATAGACTTTTGAGCAAAACAACTGGTAAAACTCATCTCCTTTCAAAAAAGGACAAAAATATACATTGGCTCAGTGGAGTGGTAGAAAGAAGAACTGATGGCTACAACTTTGGAAATTCCTCAGAACGTACAAAGAACATTTACAGACTTGTGGGTGATGAATTATTTTCCACCCTACAACCCTTTTCCCATAGACGAAATGTGGTGAGCCTATTGCTGCTCTATTGCTGTTTTCATGGCAAATGTTAAGACAAGTTACATTCCTTAATACCGCTAGTTCAAGCCTTCATGGATAGGACCCACCATGCCATGTACAAAGGTTGACTCATGTTCAGTTGCTTTGTATTCCATTGATAAGAAGGAAATTCCATTCAAAACAGTTTTTTCTGCAGGGCTGTTACTTAATTGAAAAGACTCCTGAGAAGATTCTTCCCTGATCACTACATTCTTTATTTCTTCTTCTAGGGTCAAATATTATCTATCCTACATATCCTCATAATATGCACTTCTTACTTCCATCTTTTATGCACTTACAAATTCATTCAGCAACCCTCTAATGTAAGCAACTTTTGGGCATTTTATTGAGCAACAAGTATCAAATTGGGTAACACTTGCAAGTCAATCACTCATAAATTTTGAATTGACTTTCTTATTAGTAGTAGTTAGAATTTTGTAAGGTGCCCGAAATGCTTCAAATAAAAACATTAAAAAATAATGCTAGAGCTTACAGTCATGTCACATTTGAACACCAGTTCCCATACTATTGTAGCATACCTACGGACAATAATGGGAATGTCCCCATTCACATAAATATAGTAGTAAATACTGTATGTTGGTCTGCAGTTGGAGATTCGTCTCCAGCTGTGCTGGTCAAACTCTCTGCCTCCAGGCAAAGAGGATCCCCAGATGAGGCTGTGTTGAAGGGCAGTCTCTCGTCTCAGGAAGCAGCTACCTGACCCCGTTTTCTACAGGGTCTATGGAAAATTTTTGGTCGAGGCTATGGGCTCGGATACCTCACATTAAATTTGGCCTTGTGCCAAATCTGACCACGTGGGGCAGTTGGTAGATATTCTGCAGTTGGAGATTCATTGTGAGATTCACTTGACTCACTTCTAGCAGTTGACTACTTCTACATGCCGCTGGTGAATCTTATATGTGTTGTTCATGTCCTAAGTATTATCATTCATTACCAACCTTCAGGCAATTATTCTATTCGGTAACCTTCCCCAGGTCACAACACATACGATCACCAAAGTTAAGCAACATTGAGATTAGTCAGTACCTAGATGAGTGACTTCTTGGGAATAACAGGTGCTGTAAACTTGTATAGGTTGTGTAATGGATAATGGCTCAGAATTTTTATTGCTCTCCATCTTCCCAGGCATGCAGTATATTAGACATAATAGATGACAGTATAGAAAAGGCACTTTCTCTCCATCTATCTGCAATCATTGTCTTCAGAAACTTTAATGCGCACCATGACACATAGCTTAAACATTCTAAAGGTACTGATGTTGCTGGTATACAGACATTAAATTTTTCAGTTGTCCAATCCTTTACTCAAATCATGGAGTTCCCTACTTGTTTCTCTAGCAAAACTTAGCAATGGGTTTCTCAATTTATTTCTTACCTCTACTCCTTGCTCTTGCCGAACTTCAACAACACTGCCATTTTGGTAATTCAAATCACTCTGTGGTAGTTATTGATATTTCATTCCAATCATCTATTAAACAGGAACCCCCTATTCATAAGACCTCTTTCCGTTACCAGCATGCTGATTGGGACTCACTCTGTCATTTTCCTCATGACAGCCTTTGGACTGACATCTTTAATATCCCAATTGAAAATTGCATCACTGAGGTTTCTTCTTGGATCAAAGCTGGCATGGACACTTTCATCCCTTCTTGGAAATACCAGGTGAAACCTCACTTCTCTCCATGGTTCACACCAGCACGCTCAGCCACTATAGCACACAGGAACTACTATTTTCATCTATACCAGCATGACAGCTCACATCACAACACATGCTTATTCATTATTGCTCATAATAAATGTAAGCAAGTTCTGGAAGGAGTTAAGTCAATTTGCTAAGGGAATGAGGTACTGCATAGCCTCTAACAATATTGGATCTTGTGATTACTGATGGCTCTGTAATAGGGTATTAAATAATTGTAAGGTTTCTATTGCTCCCTTCATCAATCAATTTGAGATGTTATACTCTGCTGATAAAAGCTAAAGGCTTTGCTCATAAATTCTCCTCAAACTCTGCTCTTGTCTCATCTGGAGTATCCCTGCCTAACTTCCCAACTCAGAACTCTATAGTTTCCACTATCATCTCTTACCTAGATCCCCACAAAGCATGTAAATCCAATGGTATCCCTTTAATAGACATTAAGAAGTGTGCTCCCGAACTGGCTCCTGTTCTCTCTAAACTGTATAATAAATGCCTCGCTGCATCTCACTTTCCTGACTGCTGGAAGTCATCATCTGTTGTTCCAGTTTTTAAGAGCTCTGGTGAATCATCTGACCATTCCAACTATCAGCCTATTAGACTTCTACCTCTTTTTGGGAAAGGCTCTAGTCATTGCTGAATTGGTTCATTATCTCTCATTGCAGGGCCTTTTTTCAGACAAGCAATATGGCTTTTGCTTCCCCAGGTCAACTGCTGATGTACTGACAATAACTGCAGATTCTATCATAGACCATAAAACAGTGAAGCCCAGGCTGTAGTACTGGACATCTCAAAGGCCTTTGACAGGGGCTGGTATGTAGGTCTTCTGCACATACTGAAAAGTTCCAGTGTCTCCAGACATATTTTTGAACAGGTCCAGTTTTTCCTGTTAAATCATGAATGACCACTCATCTAGATCCTTTCATACTAATGCACGTGTCTCCCAGGGCTCCATCATTGGTCTTACTCTCTTTCTAATTTTCATTAATGACCTTCCCGATGACATCAGCTCTCAAGTTGGCATCTATGCTGATGACACAACCATTTACTGCTGCTTGTCTGACAAGGTCAAAATGGCAGTTGATGTCCGTTGTTAACTGGAGCAAAAGATGACTTGTTAACTTTAACACCTCTAGAACTAAACCACTCTCCATTAATCTTCTCTGCCTTCCATCAGCAAGGCTGATGCTAACCTCCAGGAAAGTGATTCATTGCACCTTCTCAAGCTGATATGAAGTGGAAAGACTTTACTGAATCCATTGCTAGATCAGCTGCTAAGAAAGTTGGTCCAGAATCTATCTTACATATCTATAATTCTACTATTCGTCCATGCTTAGAATACTGCTGCTACATATGGTACGATGCCCCTGCTATTTACCTTGATCTCTTTGATAAGATCCAAAGAAGAATCAGCAATATTATCAATCCTGATCTAGCATCTTGGCTTCAGTCACTTTCCCATCGCTATAAGGTTGCCTCTATGTGCCTTTTCTATAAATATTTTCATGGTAATTGTTCAGATGACCTCTTCACTATGATACCTAGACTTTTTGAATTTAAGCACAATACTTGACTGGCATCAAGATCTCATCAATTTACAGTTTAGCTGGCTAGATTTAACCATAAATTCCATACTAACAGTTTCTTTTCTCGCACTTTTCACTTGTGGAACTCCCTTCCAGCTCCATGCTTTCCAGTCAGCTTTAATCTGCAAAAATTTAAATGCAATGTCAATCGTTATCTACTGTCCTCCTGATTACTCTTCTTGATCATTATTAAAGTTTCTGTTCCTAATTCCTCTCTGTAACCCCTTGTATTTCAGTGGCTTTACTGCTTTGTATGGGTTGATATTGATTTAAAAAAATTGTTAATAAGAGAGCCAAGTTTCAAGTCTAATTGGGTTCATTATATACACTTACACACAAATACTGTTGAGAAAGGTATAAATCCACCTCTTCTCCCACAGCTATGGGTTTGTATTAGTTGTAAAACTATTTGGGTTGCTGGTAATTAATAATAATGGTGATTTGGAATATCAATGAAAACGAGATAATGATGAATAACTTAGCACGAAAAGGGTTAAAAAATATAAAGAAAGATAGACTTGTAATAAAATTGTTCCCAGAGAATCGAGATATGTACAATAGACCAAATGACCGTCTAAAAGCAATTCTCAGTTTGTGTGAACAGGTAAAGTGTTGACAGTTTTCAGCAAACAATGCTTGGATCTGACATGAGAAGAATTCGGTTAAACTGAATGAATTCATTTTGCCAAAATGTTGGAATGAAAAACAATAAATTGAACACCTGCAAAATGATGACCTTTGGCTGAATGAATTGCCACCATATTGGGAGTTGCAAAAATTTCCCTGGGAAAGTGTCTCTTGGGTCAAGGGTGAGAAAGCCAATTGTTGTGCCAATTCACTTATGAGATAATAGCATTTGAAACCATATTTTTTTTTAATTAATCTCCAACTAAATGCTAGGAGTCACGGGTGCAGAAGAGTGATCAAGGAACGAAAAGGCTGCCTGCATTCACTAAAGGGTAGCAGGCACAGAAGAGACATTAAGGAAGTTGAAGGAGCTGCTGACACCCACTGGAAAGCAATGGTTAGAGATGGTAATAAGAGAGAATATAAGTAGCAAGGCGGAGGTGATGTCTGCACCCATCTCCCACGAGAGAAGGAAAATTCCCCAAAATTATGAATTAATTTAATTTCTCAAGACCAAAAACAATAGACTTTTGTTGGAAATCAGGGGATTCACTGGAAAACATCCTACATCTTGCCCCACACCGGTTTCTAGTTGGAGTCCATGAAAATGAATGTGCGAAAGCTATTCACACAGTTCAGAGTTACAGTTGCAAGTTGTGAGTTGATAGAAGGGAAATGGCAAAGATCACTGAGAGATTCTACAACTCCTGCTGAACACAAGAACCTTCTGACTTCAGCCTTGTGCCAAACTTACCAAAGCAGTAAAATAAATTTTGCTAACTCTGCAAGCCAAAATTTACCAGCTTACCCAAGTGTTGCATCTGATTTAAGAAATGGTTGAGTTTACAAACACCTGTATGCAAACACAACAACTAACAAACCATTGTACACAGCATTGATATAAAAATAGAAATTATTTTTTATATATATTTCGAGTGCTGCTTTTTTTTCCAGGTTTATTGATACCTGTGACAAATTGATCTTGGCCTCCAATAATCAAATCAATCACAACGTGGGTTAAAGCAGGTTAGGATCAAAGAGATCACTCCATTGATCAAACCAGGATCCATCTCGGGCTGACCACAATGAAAGGTTACATTTGTTGCTGTTTGCACTAAACCAAGATCAACCCAGAACCGTTACATAGACTTGTATCAATAAATCATTATTATCTCCCAAAAAAGAAAAATTCTTACAATCTAAAAATATTTTCTGGCTTTGAATAACTTACAAAGGGTTGATAATCTGTAGAAAAGCAATCAATCTTATAGAGCTTCAAAAGTAACCCAATCTGGCAATCCTGTCATAAGAATAAGAATCTGAAAATGTATCAATTAAAAAGTTCCATTCAACATTCCTAAAATATTATCAAATGCAATAGACACTTGAGAAAGGCCAGAGAGTACAGCAGCCAAAATTGGAAAAAGATAAAGATTTGATTCAAATTAATAAATGTATAATAGTAACAGCACCTAGTTTCAGAAATCCAGACACAAATGATTATTAACATCAGTCAAAATAATCTGTAAGATAAAAAATTCTCTTGCAATATGGTAATACTTGAATATTGACTGTTATTATTTGTTAAACTTACTGGATCATTTTTCTTGAATCTCCTCAATTCAGCAGCAAACAAAACCTGAAAAAAAAGAAAAAGGATTTTGAAGAAGAACTATGCAAACAAATTTACAAATAATTCCCCCCCACCCACCAAATCAGTATCCAAGTTTCTGTTGCTTTTAGAAAGTTTGTTTGATACCATTTTGCTTTTATGAATGACTTACATTACTACAAGTTTTCCCAGCCATCTGAAAAGGTGTAAAGCAAAGAAGCATTTTGAGCATTCTCAGACTCAAAATATAATCTTATGATTGCCTGTCTTGATGCAAAATATGGAGAAATATGGTGAATACATGTCAGTACAGATGCAAAAGAGGCCTAGGATCGCATGCAGACATATTTGTCAATATCAGTTACATCTGGGTTTTTCCCACTAGCAGCAGGACAGTTTGGCATGTCTAGCTAGATATAGGCCACTCTACAAATGATCAAGATCTCGGACCTTTGCTTCATGTCAATAAAAGCTGGGAGAAAACATAGTTGGCAAGACAGCATTTTGTAAAGTCAGTCCCGTAGACATTTTGTTCCTCAAGTTGCTGTGGTTTCCGAGGCAGTGTACTTTTTGTTACCTTTCATCCTTTTCCCCCACTCTCTCCCGATTATCCCCATAGTTGTTGAGAGAGCAATTAGTTAGGTGTTCCCCCCAATCTCAACAGACTCTTTGCTTACCTTACAACAAGTTATTTTGGCACTCATGGCTAACAGCAAGTTCGACATGAAGCTAATCACTGAATTTGATGGTTCAGACTGGGGTCTCACTATTGTTGAATGATTTGTAAAGGTTGAACTAATCTGTGATTTGTGTGACGTCAAGAACGTTGCTAGTATTATGCCACTTCAATTGAGAGGAGGTGCGTCTACTGTGTTCCAGCAACTCAGCAAGAAAGAAAGAAAAAGTCTAGGCCATATCAGGAACACACTGTACACTGCCTTTGTTACAGATCCATTAGTAGCATATGATCAGTTTGTAGCTAGGCACTTGAATTCAAATGAATCTGTCGACATCTATTTGGAAGACCTCGTCAGGTTGTCAGTTTTGTATGGAGAGGTGTCTAACCATCGACTTGCATGTGCATTTGTAGTAGGAATGGCTGAGCACATCAGGAAGCTGCTTCAGACTTCCTCTCAATTAGCTGGATATCAACCAGCTATTAGACCAGACTAGAGCCATATTGAAGGATGATACACCGACGACAGAATTGACCGCGGCAGCATGAAAGCCTGAGTAACTGGGTATAGACTTGACTTCTACCAATGATACACAGAGTGATATTGTCTGCCACAGATGTGGTGATGCTAATAGATATTGTTTGAGTTGATGATACAGTGCTATAGCTGTGACAAACTGGGCCATATATCATGGAAATGTCTGGGAAATATATCAGGGGACCAGACATCAGCACCTGTCTCATTCCCAGCCCAGATATAAATGCAGCGCTGCCTGTAGTTAACATATTGGTCAATGGGGAATGGGATTCAGCTCTCATTGACTCTGGCTGCTCTCAGTCGATCATTAGTGAAGAGCAATGACAGTTGTGAACTGAAAAGCATGTAGATGTGGAGACAATCAGTAGCAGAATATGGGCATGCTGTGGGGATGGAAACATTAATATCTGCACAGACAGTGGAAACTCACTCAAGGCTGATGTCCTTGCGGTGTGTGACAAACTCATAGGCTTTGACTTAGTTACTAGTTTGGTTTGGTTTATTTTATGGCATATCGACCTGAAAGGGTTATTTAATACCGACAAATTTTTTTATTGCTGGTAATATTTTTATTTTCAAAAATCTATTTCTAGTAATATTTTGACTTAGTTGCTGGAATAGACATGATAACTGCATTAGGTGGCATCCATATCATGCAGACGAGCTGTATGGTTCTGCAGCAAAGAAACATGTGTAGCAATCCATATTGACAAACCTGACTTTTCTGTGGAATTCAACCACCAACAAAGGATCTGGACTGCAAAATAAAAGTAGACAGCAGGTGTGGTATTGGTTCAGTTAGGCAACAGGGTGTTGATGTATACCATTTCAAAGGATGTTAGGGATTCCTATGAACAAGAACTCCAGACATGGATCACCAATGGTTGGCTAATACCATACCCAGATAAGTAATTGGGGTCACATGAAGGCTTAGTACCATTAATGGCTGTCAAGCAGCAAAACAAACGAAATATGTGCCTATAATGAGCTCAACATGTTGATGCATTCACTGGAAATGCGAATGTTTGTTCAGCCAAACTATGAAAATAGTGCCAACAAGGAGCAAATGTGGCCATATTTGACTTGCAAAAAGCGTATATTCAAGTACACACACATGAGCCACTGTGGCCATGTCAAATCCTGATGATCAAGTGGTTTTGCCTAATGCAGTTGGGATATGGCCTCAATGTGGCACCTTTAGTCATGAAGTCCATTATTGACACCATGCAGTCACAGGAGGAGTCCATTGGGAGAGTGACATCAGTGTACATTGACAATGTGTATGCCAATGGGAGCATCATTTCTGCAGAACATGCCAGGGCAAAACTGGCCCGGTATGGGCTCATGTGCCAAGACTCAGAACATTTGAAGGATGGTTCACGCATGTTTGGACTGGAAGTCTGGGATCAGCATAACTTTGCAGTGGACGCGGGGAAGCATGATCCCAAGTGCCCTGATGTTATGACTTGGCGGAATGCTTTCTCACTCTGTGGAAATCTAGTAGAATATCTTCCTGTGTGTGGATAGCTGCATTTGTTGTCTGGGTTCATCAAGTGGTAGGCAAATGCAATCACAAAGGGATGGGATAACTAGATTGACAACATCCCCATCAAGCAGATGGTGAAGGAAACTATGGAGAGAGTGCAACAGGAAGACAATGCCCAAGATTACTGTTGTGCAAACAGATCTGAAATGAATGTGTGGGTCAATGCAAGCTCCCCAGCGACAGGAGTGGTGCTGGAAAAAGATGGAGCAACATTGAAGGACACATGCTGGCTTCAGCCAACAAACAATGCCGAACATATCAACTTGGCTGAACTGGATGCTGCAATCAAAGGCCTCAATTTGGCCCTCCAGTGGCAGGCCAAGAGTCTACACATAAAAACCCAATTATTTATGTGTGTACTACTGGTTGTCTGACACTTACATGAGCAAAGCTAAGGTACATACCAAAACAGCGAACAAGATGCTGATGTAAAGAATGTTGAGCACAATAAAGGAACTGATACAAAAATATAAGTTGTCTGTCAACATGATACTGGCAGACAGGATGACTCGTGTACCCCAAAGGTGGCTTGATATGACCAAAAAGAGGGATGAACCTGTGCAGCATATGTGTGCTGCTTCCCTTGACACCATGAGTCCCAGTCAGATAATGGAAGTACATCAACACAGTGGGCATCCAGGAGTACAGCATGCCACATATTTTGTGAGAAGAGTTTGTCCTTCTATGACAAAGGACATGGTAAACTCAGCCATTGGGACCTGTATAGAGTGCACAACAATAGATCCTGTGCCAGTCCATTGGTAAAAGGGCAGACTGGAAGTGAACAGTACTTTGTATTGGCTTGGTATGGATATTGCTCACTACTGCGTCAGTCATTATCTAAGTAACAGATTGTGACCCATCACATTTTTCTGTATGGCAGCCATTACACTGCCAAGACTCATTGGGTATCGTACATCAGCTGGAGTCTGTGTTCTCTGAGAGCGAAGCACCATGTGCAATATTCACAGACACTGACACTGTATTCTGCAGCAAGGAGTTCCCGGCCTTTGCCCATGGATGGAACATGCATTTGCAATTCCAATGTGTGCATATCCCAGCAGGAAATGAAATAACAAAGTAGTGTCAAGTGTACTGTTGAAGAGGTCCACTTACTGGTACAATGTAACCACCAAAGATGACTGTACCTGCAAATCAAGTCTATAAATATGATGTTTGGCTTGAAGGGATTGATTCAGTGCTTCCAACAATGTCTGTGGTGGGCCACAATGTGTATAAGGTCGGAGTCCTTGTGTGGGTAAAGGTTCCACACAACCGCTGTAGAACATCTTTCAGAAAGGGACAAATTACTGGCCTTGTTAGTCCACAATTAGTCTTAGTGAATGGAATGCCCTGCCATGTCAGGGACCGTCATCCTTCCCTGAGTTCACGATCTTCAACAAGTAGTGAAGATATGTCCAACAGTGAGGATGAAATCCTCACGAGTGTGAATAGGCTAGATGATTCCATCGAGGAAGAATCACATGGGGACAAGATGGAGGAACACAAATCAGTCCCACTTTGGAAAAGCACTTGACAAAAGAGACCCACTCTAAGATGTTGTATCTGTGATCAGGAGATCAGGAGGGAGTGCAGCAAACATGCATCAGTACAGATGCAAAGAGGCCTCAGATTGCATATGAACATGTTTGTCAACACCAGTTAAATCCAGGTTTATCCCATTAGAAGCAGGACAGTTTGGCATGTCTAGCTAGGTACAGGCCACTCTGCAACTCGTCAAGATCTGAGTCTTTGTAAGATGCTTCATGCCAATAAAAGCTGGTGGAAAAAAAGGCAGTTGAAAAAATACGGTGTCTTGTGAAGTCAATCCTGTGAGCATTTTGTTCCTCAAACTGCTGAGGTTTCTGAGACAGTGTTATTTTTTGTTATCTCCAGTCTCTTTCCCCTCTCTGACTATTGTTGGTGGGAGAATAATCGGTTAGGTGCTTCCCACCAATCTCAACAGACTCTTTGCTTACATTACAACAAGAAAATTGTGGCAGATGTGAAAGGATTGAAATACAACAATATGCTTGACTGTTTATAAGCATCAAATATTTCTTTTAAATCATACAGTTCTTTGTAGATATTCAAAATATCTGGATTGCACACATGAGGAAGGCCAAAATCCAGTGGGTTAACCAAAATATTATGGTATCAATAAAAACAAAAAGAATGAGATCAATAATAACAAACTCTTACAATGACTTGTTCAGTTTTATTTTACAGGGTGCGATGGATAAATTGCACAAAAATGAAAATAACACTGACATCTCATTTTAAAAGATATATTTATCAATTACTCAAAAATATCTTGAAATACTAACAAGTAAATTTATTCAATAAAATTGCCATTGGCTTCAACCACAGCCTCTAAACGACTTCAGAATCTCCTGATGGTCTTCTTGTTTAAGTTAGTGAATGCTGCCATAAATTTGCCTTTAGTTCATATTTGGTATGAGAAAGAGTTTTGTTGCTCTACCCCTCAAGTGCACCCCACACATAATAATCAAGGGTGTTGCAGTCTGGGGAATTATGTGACCAGATGTAAGGGGAGATGTGGTTGCAGAAATTGTCTGACAGCTATGACTGGGTTCCACCCTCTTGACCCAGGTCTGCACTAGCTCCTCAAGGCTCTTTAAGTCGACCATCATGTTGAGTCTGAGGCCTTGTGGAAAGATGACTGGAGGCATAACATCACCATTACTCGTGATCCTTCCAAACAGCTTCATAATCACCATTAGACTCATCCAACACTTTCCAAATCCTCTGCACTGTCCACAAATTGACACCCAAATACTCTGAAATATTCATATTGGAGCTTCCATTGTGAATTCCAAGCATTACAGTATGTCATTTCCAAGTTTCTGGCAGAGTGAATTGCATCATGGTACTCTTTTTCTCACAGATGGTGTTCCTAACAGACCCTACTATACTGTGCAGTTGACACAATCAAAAACAAACAACACACACACGCAAAATTAAAACAAATAAAATGGTGAAAATTTACCAATTGCACACAGTATATCATTGTTTACTTAACAAAATTAAGATTCTATATCAGAATTAAATACTTACTGCTTGTGCCCAGCCAGCATATTTTCCAAATAGATCTCGAAAATGTTTTCCTGAAACAAATAAACCAATTAGTTGTTTTTTATATTTATCCAGCTAAAAAGATAGAAAAAAAATTCACTTTAAGATTAAGTTTTGCAAAGTGAAAAATAATTCAACTTTTCCAAGAAAAATCAAGAGTGATATTTTACAGGAAAACAAAAGAGATATTTTACAGATAATGCAAAAGAGATATTTTACAGTTAATGCAAGAGATATTTTACAGGAAAAGTAAGAGATATTTTACAAAAAAAGCAAAAGAGATATTTTACAGAAAAAGCAAAAGAGATATTTTACAGTAAATGCAAGAGATATTTTATGAAAAAAGCAAGCAAAATATTTTACAGAAAAAATAAGAGAAAGTTATTTTGCTAAAGAATAATTGTTATCAGTGCATAAAACACACAAACAGGCTCAGTGGATAAAAACTTGGAGAGTTAAGTTACTAAAGGGAAATAACTGAAACTGGTGTTTATGTCCTTTACATAAACACCAATTATATTGAAATCATTTGATTTCCTTAAGTGTTAATATTACAGGAACTAATAATAATGTTGATCAAGCAACATTCAGTCTGACCAAGAAAAATCAATGAAGTAGAATAAAAAAATTATCCAGTAAGTTTTACAAACCATTGCAAAATCTATTTCAATTTACTTACTTCAATTCAATTTTGTTGCAATGACAATGAACAAAGTATAAGATAGATAGTAATGTACCTATTTCATCATAGTTTCTTTTAGTCAATGTTTTATCTCTGAGTCTAAGTGAGTAATCCCTGGAAACAATTTGTTGAATATGGGTGTCTACAGGAATGGCTCCAGGCTTATCCAATGACATCAAACACACACAGTCTGCTACCTGGAATTCAAAGATAACATATCAATTAACAATACTAAATAATAGATGAAATGAAAAATGTTTTCTACCTCTAAACTTTCTATTAATTCTGTTATTATTTCTTTATCTGTATACATTATCTTAGCAGTTTTTCACATGATAGCTGTAAGTGTTATTAAGAGCGTGTGAAAAAAAAAATATATTTCTTTCAGTTTGCATGAAGTAACCTATTGACACCAAAAGCTATACAACTAAAGTAGTTCTACAAAATTTACACAAAGTGTTGTTGAACATAACTTCTCAACAAAATATAAATACAAAATGGCAGATATGATATTTTTAAGCCAGATAAATTAAAAGTAAATATCATTGAAAAGAATTATTTGTATATAACACTTAAAAAATAAAATTAAAGTTTTTTTTTCTACCTTGGGCCCAACACCTTTTAATTTTTCTTGAAGTTGTTTTTTAGCATCTTCATATGGTTCAGATCGAAGGTTATGGAGCCAATTTTCCCTTTCTTTCATTGAGTTAATGTACTGGGCAGTTTTGTTAATGTATTTAGCACGATAACCAAATCCCAACTCTTTCAGTTTTTCTTCAACTCCTTCAGCAGCCAAAGTTTGAACTGATGGAAAAGTATAAAATGTCTTCTCTCCAAGAGTGGCTATTTTGTCTCCATAATGAACACAGAGTTTTTCAACTAATGATGAAATTCTTTCAATGTTGTTGTTTGAAGAAGTTATGAATGAGAAAAGGCTTTCAACAGGATCTTGACGTAAAACTCGAATACCATAAAATCTATTGCCAACCATCTCTGAGAAAACAGGATCAACATTTTTCCATGCTTCATACAATTCACTGACATTGACATCAAGCTGCAAATAGTCTTTCAGTTCTGCTTCACTGTTAGCATTTTCATTTCCAAATACTTGGTACAGGATTTCATCATCATTTTGCTTTAATAGCCACAACTTTTTTGAAAACACTCCATGCCATTCACCTGGACAAACCTCTGTCCATCTGAAAAAAAGAAAACAATTGAATAGTCAAACAGCAATCTTGTTTTGGAGATTGTTTAGAAAAAAAAATACTTTTTCTGACTATAATTTGAACTCATATCCTCCTGGTTTCAGTTTAAACTGATATATTTTCTTTTTGCCTAAACTATAATTAGAAACTATGATTTTGGAAAGTGAAAATTTCACTGAAATATGTTGAAGATTTCCAAGTTTCATCTGAAATTAAGAAAATGTGAACTTTAAGCAAAACAGTTACCATATATTGCAAAAAAAATGTCAGTTTAATCCATATTCTCCTATCCTCCTGGTTTTAGTTTAAACTAATGCCTTCTTTTTCCCATATATCTAAACTATAAGTATAAACATTAATTTTGTAAAGTGAAAGTTTCACTGGAATATGTTGGAAAATTTACATGTTTTCATGTGAAATCAAGAAAATAAAAATTTTAAGCAAAATAGCCACAATATACAGAAAAAATTGTCAGTATAAGCTGGCACCTTTTTCCATATATTTTAACTATAATTTTGGAAAGCAAACATTTCACTGAAATATGTTGAAAAGTTTCCAATTTTTCATCTGAAATCAAGAAAATATTAACTAAAAAAAATGGTTACAATATCTGAAAAAAAAATGTGTCAATTTAAACTCATACCAAGAAGAATTGGGTTAAAAAGAGTCCTTATATTTCCTATTGTTCAGACAACTGAACATTTTTTATGGTATATTAATCACCATTTTCTATTCACTATATATTTAAAGAAAAATAGGAAATTCCTTTCTTGATGGATTGTGTAACAGAATGATCACAAAAGTAACCAAAAGAATGCGTTCAATAGACCAAACAACACTATAAATGATAAGGACTCTCCAAAAATTATCAAGGCTCTATTTACAATGTATTTCTCTAGTAAGATAATTTGCAAATGATGAGTTCACTAGTCTGAACAACAGTTAACATGATAACTCTTATCAAAGCAATATCCAGAAAAACTAATTTTTTTTTTTTCAAAATTATAGTCTGTACAGAATTACATTAATAAATATTATCTACTGATAACTTTTTTTATACTGATAACTTTTGATCCAGAACAAGACTAGTATTTAGCTTGACATAAACTAACCAAAGTAGTAATGCTATGCCAAAGCATTTTACAGACTAACGTGCTTATATCAGTTATTATTTGACATGAAATAGTAAAGATTAATGATTTTCTAAATATCTGGATTATTGTGTTATACACAGAGCATAAGAAAAACTATAATGGTTTAAAGTTACAAAGTAAACATAAAGAGAATAACAATTTGGCAAAATGTAACTTAGGACCAGACAAACGATGTGACAAAAGGACATTTTTCTTTGTAATTTTTTTTTTTTAAAAAAACTATGCTTAAAATTTTCATAAAACTATAACATATGAAACTAAATTTATACATTTTTTCTCAAAAACTGACAGCAAAAATCTCAAAAACTATTTATTCAATTGTTTATTTACAAGAAAAATGCATGAACAAAAGCAATATTTTTTATAAAAGTATAGAATTAAATTTGTGAACTATGACAATAAGTTATTTATCCACAAGATTATAAAACTATTATTATATTAGATCATTGTGTAATGGGAGAGAGCTAGGGAAGAATGATTTATTCTCCAATTTGTCTTTCCTCCATTATGGGCATTATTATATCTATGATATAACAACACTATACTTTGTGGCTGGAATGAGATGGCTAAAAGGAAAAGGAATGACAAACAAGCTTTGTTCTCAAAGAGACTTTTATGTCAGTAAAACATATACTAAACTATATATACATATATACACATGTCTAACGCAAATACAATATATCATATATAAAAGCAGAGTGTAATGGAGAAACAAAAAGGAAAGGTCTTACATATAATATGGAGATACTTCTATATCTGGAGAAGCCATGTTTAGGTCTCCAGATTCAAATGGGCCGGATTCAGTTATGTCTCAGGCAAGGACATATTCCACAAACAGGAAACAGCAAGTCTTGGGACTTGAGGACTGAGCTGGAGTTTCATTCTATATTTGGGAGATATATTCCCAAAGAGAAACAACACCATGGACTTGTCAGCTGCTAGGCAGATTTAGCATCTACCTGGGCCATGGAGGTTGGACAAGTCTAAAGAAGGCAACATTACATTATAGCTACTGAAAACGAACTGAAATTGACTGCCACTATGATCACTGTATGGAATGACATCACTAAGCAGTCTGTCATGTGATCCATGTGACTTATCTCCACCAAAGAGAGATGATATGTCCTGAAAAGGGATATATTTGTTCAAAGTAGCAAAGTGGTTTTGGACTACTGTAACTGAGTAGGATAATCTAGCAGGTAACTGTAATGGACTGGTTCGCGTCGTAGTAGTAGGCAATAAGCAAAGACTATAGGCATAGCCAATAGGCGTTGTCCTGTACCGCCACATCATTCTGTATTCATGGATGACAGCAGCCAATCATATTACTGTGAGGAGGAACCCAGGTGTATGCATATTCATAACATCAAGAGATAAACACCTTTTGTATCCCTACAATTACAAAAGGTTGCTCGATTAGAAAATTAAAAAGAAAATTTTACATACTTATAAAAAAAAATTTATTAGTCATCTACATAAACTTCATTGTTTTTAACAATTGTCTACAAGTTTGTTGATGCCATTTTCATAGAAACTTTGTGTTTTTTGTTAGAAGATTGTGAGATTGTTTTCAACCAACTGTACAATTGTCTGTCATTTTAATTTTTTGATAGAGACTGAAACAAATGAAAATCTGAAGGAGTTAAGTCAGGGGAATACAGTAGGTGCTGGAGGGTTTCCCATTTCAACTCTCTATGGTCTGTTTTGGAACATGCAGTCTTGTGTTGTTGTGGTAGAAAATGACACTGTTTTACTTGAATTGTCACAGTGAGATTGGTTAGTTGGTCACAATACTTCTTTACAGTTATTGTTTCACCAGCTGGAAGAAGCTCAAAGTGAAAAGTCAAATTAACAGAAACATCCTCATTTGATACAAGCCTCTTTTAACCATGGGTTCTGTACATTTACAAGCTTGATTCCAGCCCCATTTGCATCAAACATTATCATAAACAATCCATTTTTCATTGTCTGTAGAAATTCTGTCCAAGAACGGCTACTTTTTGTGATTTAAGAACAAAAGAAATTACCACAGAAACATAATCATTCTTCTGTTCTGTCAGAGAATATGACATCCACACGTCAAGTTTAGAAACAAACCCTTTCAAACAGTGAAAAGCAGTTGAGATATCAATTTTCAAACTCTTAGCAATCTCTTCCATCTAAATCTTTGATTTATTTTCTACAATGACAAGCAGAGTGTTTCCATTGATGCCGAAAGTTTGCCCAAAACGTGGTTGATCATTGAGTTTAAAATCAACTGACAAAATCTGCTAAACCACCTTTTGATTGTCTGAAGAGCTGAAGCACAAATCAAATAAACCTTCTGAAGTTTTTTTGTTACAGTTCCAACATTTGCTCCTTTCCAAAATTCATAGAGCATAATATGGTAAAAATGCAACTTTTCATCCTCCATCTTTAAGGCATTTATTTGTAGACAAAATGTCAACATTCAAAAAAGTCTGACTTGCAACTAAACGATGCAAATTTCAATCTCAATCACATCAGAAATTGGCACCAAAAAAAACAACAGTGTCAAATTGTGGTCATTTTATATTAACAATGAAAATCACTCACAAACTTTTGAAATGATCTGATAGTTCACTATAAGAATGATTTTATATTTATCATATAATAAAAAATATGTGAACAAACTATAATTAAATATTTATTATTTACCTTATTATAAATAAGGTTTTGTTATGGTTTCATTAAAATTCTAAAAATAGCTTTTTAAAACAATAAAATTTACCAAGAGTGTATACAGTAATAGTGATATCAAGAGAAAAATGTCCTTTTGACACACAAACTTTTTTTTTATCTGGTCCTAAGTTAAACTTTGTCAAAAATATAATTTATATTTTGATTCTATAAGACATTATTTTAGTTTACTTATCCAACCAACAAGGCATGGTACATTGATATTAAAAGTGGTTTTCCTATTTAGTGAGGGACTGAAACTGTCCCTTTCCACAGCAAAAAATTTGAAGTACTCAAATTTTTCAACCAATTAAAACAAACTAATTTAAGTTTGATTTTCTTATTCTAAACATTTAGTGAAGAATTCAATTTTCATCTGCGACATATAATATATACATGTAGTGGTTTTTTGTCATTTTCCCACTCAGCTTGTAAGTGGATTGCAATCTGGTAAATAAGTTTCCACCAGTTTGTTTTCTCTTTTGGGAAGTGACAGCTTTTTCTTTTCTATCACAGGGCCTTGTGTGGAAACAAAAAGGATTATAGTTGATTTTTGATATTAATGTTGCATAAATGAAACAGCCAAAGCATTTGTACCAACCAACACAAATATTTGGGGTATAAATATTACTATTAAATATTCAGTACAAAATCAGAAGGAAAGTTTGTATTTTTCTTTTTCTTTCTCAATACCCAAATGGAGTCAACTGTCTGAGGTTGACAAATCCCATTAAATGCCTATGTGCAAAAGGAGGTACATGATTGAACTAAAATTGTTCACTTTTTTTATTGCTTATAAGTAGATGTGTAGAAAGTTGGAAGTATTGCTTTGTCTTCATTGTCAAAGTTGTAGGTTTTACATATGGTGTAGGTATTTGTGGGATGTGTAAGATGGATGTTTTTTGGTTGTTAATGTCTTTGACTTATCATTAGTCTTCTTTATGTGCCATGTCTCTTCAGCATGTTGGTGGTCATGGCTATCCACAATTTCCTCTCCTTTCTAGCTCTTATTAAATTTTGTCTTTTTTCCAATCTCTCCTAAACCTTGTTCTGTCATCCATTTACACAAAGCTCATTAGGTTGGTTATGCATTGCTTTCCTCTGTGCCTATTGCCTTCAATGTCAAATTTTCTAAGCCCA